GTGCTTGGTAATGTTAGCAGAAGCCGATCCCAGTTGCCTATCAGCAAATAATGATTGGCAGTTAGCGCCATTATCCGTCGCATATCTCAAAGGTTTGTTCTCTTTTACCCCAAAATGCGCCTAAACTGAAGGTGTTCAGTTTCATTGGATGAGTGGCTCTATTTCTTCTTTTCACTTCCAGGACATTACGGAATTGTTGAATGGCTTGTTGATGGCCCTTGTTCAAGCATTGTTGATGTAAATTGTCGCGATCAATCCGGAGCCACACTGCTTTCTTCTGCTATCAAATTTTACGATTGTTTTGATGATAAAAATATCTTAAAGCAGTTGCAGTTTCTCATTGGTATGTTACGATTTATTTAAAAAACCGTACCACTTCTGGTGCTTTGAATTCGAGGGTGCTAGTGAGAGAGATGACGTAATTGCAGATAACTGGGTGGAACACCGGGTTTCTCGGATTGCTAAGCAACATCTGTGGCTTCCAAAGTTTAAAATTTAGTATTTCGAGCAAAAAAGAAAAGAAAGTTTTGGTAGACAAAAACAGTCTTTCATACTTAAAAGAAATGGTCTTCCATACTTCACGGCTGTTAAGTCCGGACCGCTTTCGGAATGGTTTTTGCTTCAGTTATCTGAAAATCATAATGACTCAAAAACTTCGACCTCAGCAATTCTTGGAAAAAGTAATTATGCCGTTTTTTGAGATGACTGTATGAATCTTCCTCCCTCAGATCTCCTGCGGTGTCCCACTGTGGTGCAAATGTGTTAAGCAGTTGAATGTTGCTGAAATCTTATCACGCCGGTAGTATATGCTTGATCAGTGTTGCGCCAAGTAGTTCATGCACAAATGGATAAACGCATTTTTTTGTTTCACTGGATATTTTAGTATCACAGCTCAATCACTGTCCCTTTTTCCTTGCTGAAGCAACTGGCGTTATGCGGCAACTGTTCCTTCTATGCTCGGTGAGGTGCTTTCAGGAAAAGGCGCTAATTGTTCGCTGAAAGACGCACGTCTGAATTCTCCATTCCATTATTTCTGTTGTGTGCCCTGTAAGCTGTTCGTGGAAGACACAAAGGACAGCGTCGATGAGGATGAAAACAAAAAACGCCTAACAAAAGATGAATATCGTCGTTGCGTCGATTTACTGCTGGCAACTGGAGTGAAACTTATGGACAAGAATGACGAAGGTTTGAAATTTTTTATTAGAAAATTCGTAAAAGCTTGGTGATGAAACTTCGATTTGAAAAATTACTTTGTTAACTTGGGTATTAGTAGTGCATTAATGCACCAATAAATAGCTTCAACTATATGTATATATATATATAAATATAATTTCAAGACAAGATCATAAATCGGGGGGAAGGTGTCCTTTTTTTAACCACGTTGTTCGGGTGTTATGGTAGTGAAAAAACTGGCCCGCAGCCCGAAAAGTGTTTGAAGTGGGCAAGCCGTCGGGCAGGCGGTATTTTAAAAAAAATAATTCAAAAATCGGTATCGTCTGTCCGGTCGAATTGGAATTTTACATCAGTTACATTTTAGGAGAAGATGCCTTGCAGCTGGCTATCAAAGCTGGAAATTTGTTCCTCGCTGAACTGATCTTAGAAAAATTGCTTGTGCAGGATCCAACACTGCAATCACTTGATGTGCAGTCAAGCACCAAAAACAAGGAGCACCGATTCCTACATGCGCTTATTGCACTGCCTTTTCAGGTAATAAGTTGTTTTGGTTAGCAGAGCAATAATTTCTAATGTGAAAAAAGTAGAAGAAACAAGGAATTATTAACAAAACAGTAAATTATTAACAAAACAACAAATATGCTAATCACATATTAATTTAAAATATTTCAACCTTTCGTGGGAATTTCTCCTTGTTTAAAAATTCTGTGATTTTTTCGTAAAGCAGTAGTTTTCGTGAAGCATGATTTCGCTTTTTTGACGTTATTTTTAAATTCCAAAGAATCCATCAGCTAGTTTTGCTGCAATTCTTCCTGCTATCACAGTCACCAGAAAGCAGATTTTCCGAAATTTTACTTTTGCTAAATTTAGCTCAGCAATGTTTGATGAGCTAGGTAATCACTGTTTTTAATATTTGTATTGTTGTACAGCAACGAGTAAGTTACTGATGTTATTCAGAAATTCTGCAGAAATTTATATTTGATAGAGTTTTATATTAAAAAAAAATGAAAAAATCTCTAGTTTCATTGCATATTGTTATGATTGATGGGTACAAAATTAATAAATATCTGGAAGACAAATTTGCGAAAGTGATCTTTTGTGTAAGATTCTTGTGCGTACCCATTAATTCAATAGATTTGGGCGCTTATGTATCAATTGTGATGTTTTATTGCTTTCGACCGTGAGTTATTCATTCAGGTGTATAACGATAGATCTATGTGGGCTCGTAAATATGGCCCTGCGGGTGGCCAATACAACATCATACCATTTCTGGACAAATTGATTTCTCTTAATCCTGAACGCGTTCGGCAGTGGCTGTGGCATAAGGACGCGAACTGTCAAACATCCTTAACATTTCTTTGTCGACGCTACGCAGAAATCCAGAGGGAAAATCGTGGAGGCACCCAAAATGAAGTTTGTGCTTTTTGTTGTAATTGTAGGAGCATAATTTTCACTCGGCTGCATTCGACATGTAAAAGTATCTTAATAATATCATCAACAGAAAATTCTACGCAAATAGTTCCGGCGGTTTTGGTATTACAACGTTAATAGCTTTTAGATGTTATTATTTCCTTTACAGCTTTTTTGTTTGATTAAGAAAGATTGCCGATGTAGTGACGCGATAGTATGCATACTAAAACAGGCCAATTTTAGAGATCGCTAAAGGAGTTTCTAAGCACAATGTGTGCGGTTGTGCGGCATCTTGCTCGCTTGGACCCAAAAGTATTATTGCAAAATGCTGATACTGATGACCTCGACGATTATTCTCCGACCGACCGTAAAGCTGATGCTGCCAGTGATGAGGACAGTGGCTCAGGTGATACAAATGAAGCGGAGAATTTGCGTGTTTTCGCGCAGGAAGAGGTTTTTTAATGCTTAATTTTGCTTTTGTACATTGATTGACTCTCATTTTATCGTATTGTCCGCTTTCATATAATTGCTGTGACTGAAGGCTTCTATGTGACCCTTCAGGGCGCTTAATAGCGATCCATTTATGCCTTCTCATAACTGTAA